GGTCTTAAAAGATGCATAAGACCAATGTTCCTTTAAACTACAATTGAAACCATGTGACTTCAAGTCAAAGATGCTGTATAGGAGTTTTGTTTAAAACCTAAACTTTTTTTAATTTTTCAGTATTGTGATTATTTACTTGGTTTTAATTTTGTTATTTTCGCTAATAAGTAAAATCTGCTAAATTAAATTTACATGAACATGTAGAATGACAATAAAACTCACTGATTCCTTGACAAATTCATGAAATTAAAACACAGTGAATATGATCAAAACATCAAAACAGTGAAATTAAATGTCAGTGAAAATAAATGGTTTTATAGAAGTAAACACTAACAAGGAAAAAATAGAATTATTTGTTTTCATAGGATTTAAAATATTATATTAGACTCTCAGCTCTTATGATTAATCAGGATCATTACCCTTTCTGATATCTTTTAATAGCAAGTAACATTTACAGAAAGCTGGTGTAGTGAACCTAACAATATGCAAGTCAAAGTTATCATGTGATTGGAATGTGAACTTTTCTTTGTAAAACGACTAAAACTATTTTAATGCAAGTATTTTTGGCGAGTTTAAAATTGAACTATGACAAATCATGAGATGATATGTGTTTATGATAATATTAAAGGAGTGTCTGATTACCTCTTTGAATTCATGGAGGGTCATACATTGTATTTGCTTTTGGTTGTCAGTTGAGTCGGCAGGATGGACTGGTTTCCTACAATCACTAGTTAGAAGTGTTGTGAAATGTTGCAACTCTATGTGGCAAGGTGGAAAGAAGCACTCAGTATATCCTGAACAACTTGTAATTTGTGAGGGGCCAATGAAGGATGAGAGTCAATGCATGCACTTTGCATGTCACTACTTAATTCTACAGGATAACACATAAAGCCTCATGGCCTTACTCGGGACGGAATGAATGACGACTCACTACCTTTCCTACCAGATTAGGTACCAATTAAGGCAGTCAAAGAAAATTTGGGTGGAAAGTAAAGAAAGTGGTTAGTTATAAAATTTTGAAAAAAAGAATATATTCTTATTTTAAGAGAAATTGTTGTGAGTTAGGTGTAAAACAATACATGTAGATCACATAAAAAAATTGTTTATCCACATGCAGACTCTACTAGAAATGCACATTTAATAGCATAAACAAAACAAATTCAACTGCATTTTGCATTGACTTTCATTTGTTCATTGCACCAACTCAATTCACACACACATAACATTAATTTTTGCAACCAAGTAATTTGTCCTTGACTGCGACTAACTGTCATTGACAACATCAACAAAGTACACTTTTAAATGCATTCAATTTGTTTATTCAATACTTGTCAACAAAAAATTTTGAGAATTTTTCTCCAATGTGTCAATTATCACATTTCAAGTTCTCAGAAGTACACAACATGTAAAGATGGAGTTTTGATCTTAAGTTTTATACTTTTTGATACTTGTTAAATACCCATAGACATTTAACCATATTGCAACTTTGATTTCACTAACACGTAATGTAGCACGAATTTGAAATCTGTATGCAACTTATTTTAAGTGCAAAGGAATATGAGTCAACATCAGCCTATGCAGTCTTTGCATCTGGACTATGGGCAATGTAAAAAGGAAATAAACCAAATGAAAACTATATTTTCTATACATTCTTTTATGTTGCTCATAACAATAATTACAAAGATGTATGTATGCATCTCAGAATGTGATCAATATTTTCTCTTCTCTGTACTTACTTTGCTTCTTACCCCATACTAATCTCTATAGTAATTACAACGATGTACATCTCATACTATATCTCTTCATTATAACATGACCTACCTTCTTCAGTTTGTCGTGTACTGACATCCAATCGTCCTCGTCGGCAACAGATGCCACGTTCAGACTTTCTAACCCTAGCCACACAGAAATAACCAATAATAAATATACCAAGAACAGCAGCTACAACCCAACCAGCAATTGCAATGCCTTCAACAACACTATAGTCATTTTCTACTCCAACAACTGTTCTATGTTCTGGTGGTTCTGTCAAGAAATGGAGACAAAACAAATCTTAGATCAAGCCATTTTTCTGTGTATGCGTTGACTTTAAACATAGTGAATCTAATGAAACCTTGCTCTGTATATTTTGTCTTGGAATTTGTATAATGATGTTTACTTGTATATACCAATTTAAAATGAATGGTCTGTGCAAACAATTTTTTTAATGATATTCTAAATTTGAATGATCATTCATGAATGTCACATGATAGTGCTAAAGAAACCTTGGTATTTTGGTGGCTTAATTTAATTATTCTCTTTTTCAGATGAAACCATATCCACCTGCACCTTGATAGAGCCATGGTTAGGCCAGATACATGTTCCATCTAATAACATAAAATAATATTTAGATCAATAACCTAATGTTTCTCAAAATATTTTCTTCTTATAAACAGAAACTTGGTATAATTAATTTAACTACAAGCCACAAAATTATTTTTAACTACAGAATCAAACTTTACCAAACTTACATGACATCACTCAGTATTGTCAAATGTTAAAACAGGCTTTTATGAAAGACCAAACAAACCTGTCATTTCAATGGAGGCTGTTGGATATAATATTACATTAAAGTATGATAAATAAACTTCACAATTAATGTGATAAATTTTCAATTATGTATTGCAAGACAAAAGCATACTCATCATCACATGCAAGTGTCATTCACATTACTTTAAGGTATATTGCACAGAGAGGAAAAGATAAGCAAGGTTTTAATAGTCTCGCTATGTTTTCCTGTGTGTATCCTTGTACAGTGAAAGGACGTGCAGCTGAGATCTTTTAGATAATGTGGGAGTACAGATTTTGCAGCCCATAATAAACGTTTTATTATACAAATGCGGTACCAAAATGGTGCCATCTTTGAAATAGTTGTTCCATTTTGGGATTCACATTACCATACAAGGTAGGATGTAGATACGCCGTGCATTACCACGAAATTATGGTTGCCGTAATTTTGGGGGATACAGTGAAAGATGAATAATAATTTCAAATATGCAGAAATGATGCAATACATTTTTTATGTTGAATGGATTTCAGATATTCATAATCTGAAGACAATGTTGACGAGAATATAAAGACATCGTTTGCTTCACCATACTTGCCTATGTTAGGCGAGGTGAAATTTCTTTACATTTAATATGGCTGGTAAATATTTTAAACACTAAAATTATCATATTCTCAAAATCTCAAAATCATATTAAAAGTCAGAAACTGGCCTCTCATGGGGAATATAACCGTATTTTTGGCCTGTATTGGTTCAGGGCTGTTTTGGTTCAGGGCTGTATTGGTTCAGGGCTGTATTGGTTCAGGGCTGTATTGGTTCAGGCCTGTATTGGTTCAGGGCTGTTTTGTTAATTTTAATAACAATACTTTTACAACACTATTTAGCACTTCAAACCATGATGGTAATACCATCAATAATATGCAATAATAGTAAGGTAAATGAAATTGACATATAACATTACAAGATTATTATGAAAATGTAGTAATTAATATTTAGTGACATGAAATATATGATAGTAACAGAGCTATTCTAAATACAAAATATAACATTAGAGGAAGTCGTAGCATGATTAAAAGGGAAACACAGGTGAGTTATTAAGATTCCAGGAGAGCTGTTACAAATGAAAAAAATTAAGACTGAGGTATGTTAAGCCTTGTACATGCCAGGAATAACTTGTTCTGATGGATCTGACATGACTCAACCAAGGCTTGTAACACCTCTGACATGACTCAAACATTGTGATATGTCTGATAGGAGTCAAACAGAGCATGTAACATGTCTGATATGGTTTGGAAAATAGTTGGTATGACTTAATTTCTCATAAATAACAAGTTTAGATGTTTAACACATATGCATTAAAAAGGTAAGATTTAACAAGACAAAAGTATTAATATGTATTGAAATGATGGGTAATGTATTCTGGAATGTGTACATGAATGAATATGGTATAATATATCCTGCACTAGATGTCTATAATCAGGTCACAGGGCTCAATATGGGTTTACAGCATCAAAAAGAAAACAATCGTTAAGACTTGTCTCCTGTACAATGCCAAACCGTGTAGAAAAGAGGATACGGTTAAATAGATCATGACTCATTCAACAGTCACATTAGTTTGGATGGAAGAAAACACACATTAGTACGAAAACATGGTCACATTACAATTGATTTATCAATAATGTAATCTATCTTAACATTACCATGGCAACCAAGCTGTAGACGAATTAATAATTAGAGGTTACCAAGCAATCTACTGAGCAGTCTCTATAACAACCCAGAGCATTATGATAGTGACAGCAGTGCAAATTGATGTTAATAAAACATGCTCAAAAAGTCAAGCTATTAATGCAAGGCCCTCTTTTCCACAATGACGGCAATAAAACACTTTTAAGATCTATTGATTTGTTCAATTTTTGTTCAAGAATTAATTTTCTGCTACTCAAGTTGAATCATGCACTAACAACCAAAGACAAGTGAGAAAAGTGCAGTGCAAAGATGACAGAGAATAGAGTGAAGTGAAGTGAGACATAGGATGGGATGATAAATAGTGAATTTGATAATGCATAAGGCTGTGAAGACCCTTCATCTTCACCATAATAGAAATCTCTCTCTCTCGCGTCTTATACAACTCAGATATAACTCACTCGATATATACAGTAACGGCATTAGGCATTGTTTACTACATAAGCATGCAGACATCACAAAGTGCACCATGCACAGTATTTTTAGACCAGCTTTCAAAACAAGTATACATCCAGCCAAGCAGTCTAGCTGGATTACATTTCTATTAATTATGCGTAAATATTGGGACGGCATGGTGCATGATTCCAATCCAAATGTACTTTATTTCAGATTTTTATTTTTTCTGTCCATTACCAAATTTATGACACACAAGCTACATGCAGAAAACAAATAAAAGTGATTGCCGCCATTGAAAGAAATGAGTTGAGGCCTTACCAATTGGCGGACCAATGATGTTGCTCGTTTCCGTGGTTACTGGATCTTGTGATGTAATCTCTATGGGATATTCTGATTGAGGAGGAATGTTGTGATCAGTATACAATGGTGATTTAAGGGATGTGTCATATAATCGTACTCTAGTTGGCGTTGTTACCTGAACTGTTTGACGGCCTATATGGATATCGGAGATAGAAGAGAGATAGTGGACACAAATAAGCATTCACTTGACACATTGATCTTTATTTGTTAAATGATTATGTATGTGCATTTTTAAACCCTCACAATAATTTGTACAAATTACAGTGCAATATGTGCAACAAATCTACTTTTAGAAAAATGTGAAAGCAACAATCAGGTGAAAGATTTCCAGAATGAGATTAATTCCCAGATTTCAAATTTCCCAAAGGTCTTTATTTTAACGATGGGCTTTGAGCGAGGTAGTTTTTATGCTATTAGCCTACCAAGGAAGCTTCTCTAATTTGATCCTTTAGGTTCATGGTAGAATCTGCTCTACAACATGAAAGATAAGAGATAATTGAGAGACTGGAACTTGATAATGAATTTAATATTTGCTCTATTAGTAGCATATGAAATTACAGAGGTGTTTATACAACAAATGTGAATTTTGGTTCATATGCTCTTCTTTTGGAGATGTACTTCCAATAAAGTAAATACAGTACATGTTTACCCAAAATAATTGAATTCATACTCAACATACACAGATAAAATGTCATCAT